TTAGTTGTCATCATTCACATGGTTATTTCCTCATGGGATGTAAAACTAAACCATTAAATGGTTTATTTGGGATTGAAACTTGAAATAACAAAATTTCAATCAAGGAATAAGTGTATACTGCTTTACATTTGCACAACATTAAACATAAGAATAAAGCCTGTTACTTCCTTCAAAGTCCTACTTAACAATCACAAATCTTTTACAGTTTTTAGTAAAAAACTGACTTGATCTACTTTAAATAAGTACTGTTTTCAGTAATCATTTTCTGACTGTATACCTTGGACACATTTGATATGTAGATTGTTTCTAGCTATATTAATTTTTGTTAATTCATTATGCAGGCTAATAACTTCTAATGTTTATCAGTACTCAGTGTACATATAAAGTGACCTTTTCAGTTAACACTTGGGCAGGATTACAGTTCATGATCAGCTACCAGCTTGAACAAACACTGTTAAGGTTGGAACACAGTTGGAAAAAAGACAGGCTTCTTAGATCGTTTGACTAAAATACACTAATCAATTACTGTGATATAGTCTACATCATCCAATGTCATGCTTTCCCTCCCCATTACCTGGGTTTACCTTGAAATGTTAGATGTAATGGTAACTTTTTTTTCTTCTTGTTGGATCTGAAGCAGCATTCATTTTTGGTTGCTAAGGCTATGTAGAGGTGTCCCATTTTTTATCAGCAGAGTTGCCATACTTCCAGTACAAGCATACAGGTGTTCTCTCAGTTTCTCTTGGAGGAAACGTGCCCCTTCCAGGAGATGTTAGGCTGGAAGCCCTCCCATATGAGAGAGTTTCTTTCACAGGAATGAATGCTTCTAGATTCCCTGCTTGACTGGTCTGGGAGGGGACAGGAGAGGAGCAGTAAGTCTTTACAAAGGCTTGGGAGCAGGGGTGAGAATGGGGGTGCTTTAATTAATCAACGAGCTTTAGTTAAAGCACCCCCCCCCGCCATTTTGAAGTGCAAGGACACTGAATACACATGACGCTGAGGCTGCTGGAGTGTGCTAATTAGCATGCTCCAGCTGATGTGATTAGTCAAGTCTGCTCTGACACATTCCAATTAGAATGCATTGGAGCAAGCATCGGGCATGTGTATAGGTGCCCATGATGCTTCCCAGCTCTTCACCAGATCAGGGTACCTGCTTTGGGGAATAGGTTGGGGGCTTTATCATGCTGTTCCCTCTACTCCTAGTTTCATAGTTGGTAGGGTCAGAAGGGACCTGAGCAGATCATCAAGTCCGACCCCCTGCCATGGCAGGAAAGAGTACTGGGGTCAAATGACCCCGGCAAGGTGTTCATCCAGCCTCCTTTTAAAGACCCCCCAGGACAGAAGCCAGCACCACTTCTCTTGGAAGCTGGCAATCTATTCCTCCCTTCTAGCGTGCCCACTTCTTCCCTTATCTTAGTGTCATCTGCAAATTTGAACAGGGTGTTTTTTACCCCCTCGTCTAAGTCGCTGATGAAGATGTTGAACAGTGCGGGCCTGAGGACTGAGCCCTGCAGAACCCCACTGCCCACATCCTTCCTGAGGGGATGGTGGGCACTGCCTTTTGAAGTTCCATGGGAAGGGGGAAACTAGAGGTGCACTGATAAATCGGTGTTTATTGTATTGGCACAGATAAAAAGGGAAATTGACATTATTGGCAATTGTTTTTTTTTGAGTGATTGGCTGATAATGGGACTGATAAGTGCTGTGTGTAAGAGTGCAACTACAGCATGCACCCAGCCAGCCTGGCAGCTTAGAGAGAAGCATACAGCTGGTAAGTCTGCTGGAGAAGGGGAGTGGGGGGGCATATTGAGGCCACTGCGGTGATGGAGGGAGTGGGGGTGGGGCAGGTGGATGCGCTACCCAGCTGGGGCAGGACACGAGACAGAGCTACAAGTGCATCCAGTTCTGGGTGCTGCACTTGAGGAGGGATGTGGAGAACATGGAGAGGGTCCAGAGGAGGGCTACTCGCATGATCG